AGCTGGACGGTGAACTGACTGGCACTAGGGAGTCGGTGTGGCGTGAGATTCCCATGAAACAAAGAGAAAGGCTGCTGTTGGGAGCAATATACGGGTCTTCAAATAGTGGCGCTGATAATGATGCGAAAGTAAATGAACTTTTTTCTGTGGCGCAGGTCAGACCGCACGTTTTGATTTGTGGTGACTTTGATCATCCTGAAGTTGATTGGTTGGATGTATGCACACCAAACGACTGCAATCACCCGGCGTCAAAGTTCGAAGAGGCTGTCAGAGACTGGTTCATTGTTCAGTTTGTGCAGAAACCAACGCACTCCAGAGGGAATGAGACCCAAAACGTATTGGAATTGATTTTTGCCCATGAGGGACCATTGTTAGATAAGTCAGACATGAGGCGCCACTGGGAAAGAGTCATCATCATTCTCTTTTCCAGTTAGACTGCAACACGATGGCTGCTCAGAGCGGTCCTAAGAGCTTCATTTATGCTAAAGGAGCCTACGCAAAGCTTAGCAGGCTTACGAAGGAGTCGGATGTGATGAGCATGATTTTGGACGTAGACGTTTGTCGAGCTTGGGATATTTTGTGTGAAGCTATCCATACCTCTATGGAAATTTCTATCCCAAAGAATAAGCCTGGATCAAAGAAGAAAAGAACAATTTGGGTAAATGAGAAAGTCCGAAGTAAATTGAAGGCGAAGAGACAAGCATACCGGACTTATCTTCGAATTCGTGACGGAAACGACTACTACTTATATGCAAGAGCTCGAAACCAGGCAAAAAAGGCTTGTAGAGAAGCAGTGAAGGAGCTGGAGAGGTCAGTTGCTTCAAAGGCGAAACAGAACCCGAAAGCTTTTTACGCCTACGTCAAAGCAAAGTTGAACACTAGAAGTGGCATCGCCTATCTGTAGGATGGCAGAGATAGAGCATTGTAAAGGAATTCGTGACCACTACTCCAACCGTAGTCCAGAGAAGCTGGAAAATTCCAATTACGGTCCAGGGTTAGTTCAGCCAAGGAATCTACCGCAGTCGCACTAACGCAACCAGACCTCGCCACGGGATGCAAATCGAAACACGCGTAACTTACTTAGCATTTGATTAACAATAGAAATCAAGCAGGAAAAGTAAAGAAGGCCAGGCGACAGGTGCCCTTGAACAGCAGAGGTAGCAAGATCGCCGGGGTATCAAGGTTGCACCAGGATGCAAGGTTCCACCATGATGCAAGGTTCCACCCGGAAGCAAGTGGTGCGGCTGAGTTTTAAGCTTAAAGCCGCAGGGTAGGAGGTTGAAGATGTGGATGTGCATGTGGAGCCAGTACGTGTTACTCGTGGTTGTGTAGACCCTTGGTGGCCAGTCAATAGGTCTATCTGTAGCAAGGAGCACGGGGGTTAACAATAACCGATTTTAAGGTTATTCGTATCTAAATATAAAGTATGTGATGAGGAGCCAGGGTTAGCATATTTGGAACAGACAAGAGAACCTAGTTGATTGGTCGGAAAATGCTATCATGAGCACTAATCTGGCCTAAGAGAAATCAGATTGAGGTTAGAACTAAGCGTAACTACAGCTTACCCGAGAGTGGAAACAAGAAGTGCGCGTTCGAGCTCCCACGAGTTTCAGCGAGATAATGAATGACTGAGGCAAGGTGAGGCTACCTACGTGTACTAATTGGCTACGTAACTGCTGACGTGGCGTGCGGACCAATGAAGATAGGCCGCTGTTGCCGTGCCGGATGAATTTCCTCTACAAGTATACTTGAACAGGAGAAAGCCAATGTTTCAAACAAGTTTTTCAGTAGTGGCTTTACAGAGGAAGATCATTATCGGATCACGGTTCCTGCACGACGGGACAACATTAGTGTGCTACATGTCACGGATATTGGTACGTCTGAAGTTTTTAATAAATTGAAAAGATTCAATCCGAATAAATCAGAGGGCACAGATAAGCTACATCCGAACTGAACTTTCACCGATAATCGCCGAGCCTTCGGCGCTAATTTTTCTAAAGTCCCTTAATGAGAGTAAGATACCGTCAGCCTGGAAGGAAGCACAAGCAACTACCATTTTTAAGAAGAGCGACCAGAGTAAACCAAGCAATTACCGGCCCATAAGCCTGACAAGTGTTGTTTGTAAAATACTTGTGTCACTGATCCGTGACAAGATAATGGAACACCTGCAAATGAATAATCTTTTATCGGACTGTCAGCATGGGTTTGTTCCTGGCCGATCGTGTTCATCGAACTTATTGGCATCATGGCATGTCTTGAGGACTGGACGAAAGCTCTAGATGATGGAAAGGACGTCGACGTAGGTAGTTTACTTGGATATGGCGAAAGCGTTCGACTCTGTACCACATGAGCGACTTCTTAGCAAATTGGAAGCCCTCGGTATAGGGGCGAAGTCCTGCGGTGGATCAGGAACTTCTTAATTGGGCGACGGCAACGAGTCTGTGTAAAAGGAAGTCAATCAGACTGGGCGTTGGTAAGGAGCGGTGTGCCACAGGGTAGCGTCCTTGGCCCCATCTTGTTCGTTGCTTATATTGATGACCTAGATGTAGTTTCAAGTGCGTCCATTTGCAAAATGTACGCTGATGACACCAAAGTTTACGCGGCAATAGATCTCCCAGACGACAGAATCGCACTTCAGAAGGATCTGCACAATTTAGTGGATTGGGCGGACCGATGGCAGCTTAAGTACAACGCCGATAAGTGTCATGTGCTCCGTATTGGAAATAGAGAGAAAAGTTCACTTATGAAATGAGAGAGCATGGCTCAAAAAATGTAGCCGTTTTGCAGCGGTCTGTGCTGGAGAAAGATCTGGGTGTGAACGCTGACAGTAAGCTGAGGTTCTCGAAGCATATTGAAATCCAGGTTAATAAGGCAAACAGTATTCTGGGTCTGATTAGAAGATCATTTGAATTTCTAGACGTTTTGACAATGAAAACACTATTTGTGGCACTTGTTAGACCACACCTTGAAGTTTGCAACGTTGCCTGGTCCCCCAAACTTGAGAAAGAGAAGAAACATATTGAAGGTGTTTTGAGGAGAGCAACTCGAATCGTCCCAGGATTTAAGAATGTGGCTTATGAGCAGCGCCTGGAGAGGATGAACATTCCTAGTATGGCATATAGGAGAACTCGTGGCGACCTTATAGAAACTTACAAATACACTAATAGCTATTACCGGAATGAGAATTTATTCACGCTAGACACAGAGGGGATCACCAGGGGTTATCAGTTTAAAATAAAGAAACTAAGGTGTAATACTTCTGCGAGGCGGCACTTCTCTCTTTGCGTGATTGATCGGTGGAACGGCCTGCCAGCGGAGATTGCCGAGGCGACAACGCTGAACGCCTTCAGGAATCGACTTGATTCGGTTATGCGTTGTTATATGTACAGTGTGGAGGAGCCTCCCTCCAGAATGCGACCGCTGGGCAATCGGACTGGGCGCTCTTAATTAGGGAGCGCGCGTTGCCGAAATTTTTGGACTAGACGTGGCCATGTACGTGGCCATTTTTTAGCAGTGTTTGACGATGTTTGAATGCAAGACGACGAGACTCGAAGACAGGCCCTCGTCGGCCTAATCATCTGCGGCGATTCATGCTATGCTATGCTATACACATTAAATACGGCCTCACTGTCTGTACCATACTAGCTAGTGGCTTGAAAAACCGCCTAGTGTGAAAGATTACATTGAATGCCATAGCAAGCTAAACTGTTGCGGCAAATCTACCGCCGCAGTTTTAGTAGTACACACGCGGGCGTCAGGCGTTAAATTCTACGCCGCATTAAAATCCGTCGTGTTTGAATAGTAGTTCACATTTTGTTTGTCCGCTGAGGTTCGGCGGTAAATACCGGCGGACGCTGGCGGTATTTGCCTCCCTGTGTGAAAGGGCCTGAGTAAGTTAGTTAGCTGCTGGTACATTAGGTGGCTGATACACACCTTATTCAACTACAAGTCGGCTGTGGCCAGACGCTACAGCACGCCAGAAGATAAGCAAATGGAACGCAAAATCCATGTCATGTTGCAGAAACTTAATATTTCCTCCGTTCCCGCGGAATCGCACTTGTTCTACTTCGCTAGAAAATGGGTTTATTTGATTTGATTTCATTTACACTGATGAAATGTGTTTTATCTCATGGTCTTAATTTTATAGCTATTTTTGCCTGCCCTTGTTTTATAGATATTCTCGCTTGTATCTCGATATCTATACTATCATGTTTGTACCAAAAGCAACAATTAATCCCATAACATTTTTTCTCTCTATACTTATCTGGTATTTTTAATGTCTTCATATATAAAATTCACGTAATGCATATTTTACTATCGAAATAATCTTACTCTTAATTCTTCGTATGAATCTCTCTAATTATATGTGCAATAAAACATTGAATGGATACATCTGCATTTGAAGACAAGGAATTGTAAATAATATAACCAACTTGTAGTATGAAAAATAAATATTCTTTGAGGTAATCCTAATATTATTTATGCAAGTACATGCAATAATAATTGCATGTAATCTCACGATAATTCAACGCTCGATGACAATAACTCAAGTAGCATATAATGAATATGACGTGAGACACAAAAATTGAGGCCTGGACGCAGATATCAAGTCCTTGGGCAGGCGATTCCGTGAAAAATGCGGGAAAATGCGCATAAATACTGAAAATTTTTAAGATTACATGGAGAATACTTTGAAATTTGTCCAAATTTTCGTAGAATTGGAAAGGTAGTTAGTACTTGCTATAGCTACTAATTTCATTCTACCGAAAACCTTTCCCGCTCATTGTCCTACTCATTTATTTTCCTGCTGTTCTGTCATCCTAATTGACCACGAAATCAAGACAATTTTCTCTGAAAATTGTCTTGAAAGCTAATATTACGAAATTGAAAGCTAATAATATTAATTATTACTAATATTAAATTGAAAGGTAATATTAAGTTTTTACTATTTATTTACAACGTAAGAAATCTCTCAGAAGTAACCAGATTTGTTTCAACAGGTACAGTAAAAGCTCTGAGCTACGCAAACAAACGGCTAACGGCTACCGAAACTTCAGTCTCTGAGATGCTGATACGCATACATGCAGAAACTCCTATAAATGCCTTCAATTTGAAACTCTGTCCGAAGGGAGAGTGCGACTTCCCCAGCTTCAGTAAGGGTGAAGCTAAATATGAACTTTGCTTCGTTACCTCTTTCCGAAACGTCATCACTGGTGTAGCACAAAATGAATTTCAAGGTAAGAACACAAGATAAGAAAATGAGAAAATCATTTATGAAACAACAGGTCGAAGCACAATCGAAGAACTCTTCTAGTGAAATTTTTTATTACGTTGAACGTCATAACATAACATAACATAACATAGTGATGTCGGCTCTGAAGTGTAGGCCTGATGTGGCCTGTCGCCGATTCTTTTCCATTTCGTGCCTTGTTCATAGATCTAAACTCGTGTCATTTGACCGGATCTTTTCATGACTGGCGATAGTTTGAAGAAGCTACTAGACTTCCTCCGGGTTCGATAAGGAGCTAGGCATTATCGCACAATTTTGATTGAACTGCACTAACATTGAACCTTTCACTGAAATCGTTTCGGTACAAAATTCGCGAGATAAGTCAAACCGGCATAGTAAGAAGTGAGAAAGTTGGGACCCGCAAACACTACGTGCGTCCCCGATCACTGCCAGAACTCAATTGTTCTGGTCATGTCAATTGTCATGTTCAATTCATAGGAATTTCCGATTGTTCAATAATTAATTGGCAAACTTTTTAATGTAAATCAATCTGGTAATGAAATCAAATGACCTATTGACGTATACAGTCTAAATTACTTCAATTCAGCTTCATTTGCATAATAATAAAAGCAACAGTACATACTATCTCATGAAAATATTACACTGAAACTAAAATATGAATCAATACCTACCTAACCCATTAGATGTTTGCCAAATGAATATCTGTTCAAGCATTAAAATAACTTATTGGTGATCCTGTTGCTTATTTGCTCTGCCTTCTCTGTGTAGATTTGGCACTGGCGGCCGTAGCCTCCACTTCCAGTTCCATCGATTTGCGCTTCCGTAACCTAGGCACTGATATGAAGTACTTGATATACCAAACGACCGACGCAGGCGCCATAGTACCCGCAGACCAAATTCCCACCCATTTGGATTGCTCCAAAATTCCTTCGGAGTCGTATTGCTATGGATTTTATGAGCCAGCGGATACGCAATCGCCTGCGTACATCGCCATCTCATACGCCGATGAAAGCAACACGATAATTTCTCTTGATGCGGCGGCTACACCACCGGTGGAGTAGAAATCATAGTCAGATGCCGTAAATATGAAGACAATATTAATGGAAAGATTGAAAGTGTAGGTGATGGTAATTTCGGTGAAACCGTCGAAAAGGAGGTGAAAATTATAATGATATTTATAAAAAAGATCTAGCTCCAACTTCTTAACCTAAAGCACTCCTGAATTCATAGCTCAAATCTACAAGCAAATTTCCAGTCTTCCTATCTATTATTTCATTCTAAACTTACACTTTCTTGCTAGAAATTTAATCCATTTTAATTTTGTAGCAGTTATAAATAACTAGCCTTGAATACCAGTGAGTTATAAAACACACGTAGCAATAAATTCAAACTATGCAACGGATGCTGGTCTTAAAATAAATAAAAAACTATAATTAATCCGGTCGTTTCCATTTCTTAAACTGATTTTTACTTTGCATCTTTGGAGTAAAAAATCAATTGAATATTTGTTTCCTGTTAAGGAAATTATACTCAAAAACCCAATAAGTTGTTTTGGCTGCACGGGGACATATATACAGTCACGAACAGCGGGGAGGAGGGGGCTACCGAAGGTTATGCTTAACTTGTTATGGACTGCTCCAACGATCGCACCAGCGCAGCGTCAGTAGTATCACATGTAGGCAATGCAGCCGCGCCGCAAGCATCACTAATTTTTGTGGCGCTATTTTCCTTGTCATTTTTTCGATCACTCAAACAGTTATTAGTATATTTGTTATGTTAAATTGGTACTCATTTTTTTCATTACTGTTATCTTTTGGTTTTTCTAGCATTTTCATCTAGAGAAACATCCTGCAGTTCGCGACAATTCGATACGCGTCACTTTCTAATCTGTCCGTCGTGAAGCAGCTTGAGCTTTACTGCTGGTGTAACTTATGATGCGACTGGTGTTCTTTATGATATTTATATACTGTGTTGGGATATTTGTGAATTGTAATTATTTTTGTTAGGAATAAATAGGGTTAAGTATTATTGCCGCATCTTGTCAGGTTTATTGATTTTGCTTGCAGAATCTTATACATAGACATTATACAGGGTGCGCCAGAGAAACTTACTTATTTGAAAGGTCAATAAAAACAAAAGTACTTCAATTATTGTTTAAAAATTTTTTTTATGTGAGAATACAGCATCCCAAATTTTTTTTTAATACAGTTTTGAAAATGACATCTCATAAATGACGGCCCCCATTGCGCATACACTGATGAAGTAGATTTTTGAAATTTTTTTATCCTTTCTATGCAGCATATCAATCGGTATTTTGGCAATGACGTCGCGAATGTTGTTCTTGAGGTGTGCTATGGTCTGTGGTCGATCGACTTAAACCAGAAATTTCAAATAACCCCATAAAGAGAAATCCCATGGAGTCAAATCTGGAGAGCGTTGCGGCCATTGGAGATCGCCTCTGAGAGAGATCAGGCTGTCGGGGAAATGTTGTCGCAACAAATTCATTGAGTCTCGTGCTGTGTGTGTTGTGGCTCCATCTTGCCGAAACCACACGTTCATTTCTTCGAGTCTTGGAAGAAAAAGTTCCCCGATCATGTTCCTGTAACGAGCTCCTTTAACGGTAACTGCGTGTTCGTTTTCTTAAAAAAATAAGGACCAATTATTCCCATTACCGACGTCGCACATCAGACAGTAACTCGCTCACAGTTAAGGGGACCGACCTAGCTCCGGAGAAACTTCTACAGTTATTATCCGATCATCATGAAACTTCACATACATACGTAAAATGTAAAAATAAGAATTGTTAAGGGACCTAAAACCCACCTCCCTTTGAGGAGCTGTCACAAAGTCATTTTTCGACGCACAGGGACGATACTTATATCGTTCGATGCGCAAGAAAACAACCTTTAAGATGAGATAAGAAACAGAAAAACTCAAAATTTTCAAATTTTAGCTAGGTCGGTCCCCTTAAGTGGCTTCTGGTGAAACTCACGTGGATTTACACCACATCAATAGCGCATGTTTTGCTTGTTGACGCAGCCGGAAATGTGGAAGTGAGCCTCGCCACTGAAAAAGACGACGGCGTCTTCAGGCAGGTTGTCAACCAGCATTTCACATGCATTTTGACGGGCAACAAAATCGCGTTCAGTTGATTCTTGCACAACAGCAAATTTATTTGAAAAACTTTGAGAAACAAACTTGGGAACTTTCCCCTTCAGATGCACCCCCTCTCGCCCCTCTACCCGACCAACTAACCGCACAGGAATTTTTTCAAATAAGTAAGTTTCTCTGGCGCACCCTGTACTTATACATTTGCAGAATCACTAATACTGACAATAGATTTAGTGCATGACATTCGCTGGGTTTCATGTTATTGTTCTTGCTTCTATATATACTTTTGATCATCATTATCTACCTGTGCCTTACTTATCAAAAAAATGTCAAAAATACCAAGTTCGCCATGCAGGGATTCTCGTTACTATCTACTCGGAAATTTTCGACGTCAGCAGCCATGACGTGCGTGCAGCAGGATTGTACACAGCCTAATGAACGCACACTTTCGTTACGTGAGTGGATTTTCGCACTGGAAAGTAGGCAAGGTTCAGTTCCATGGATTTGAGTGATATCTTGAAGCTGCAGTCTCTTCTGATGCAGTTCATTCATCCGAAAGTTATAAATGTTAAGCATACTACAGAATATGAACACGCTAAAGAGGTTTGGGATGCATTCAAATGCAAAATATTAAAAGATTATCATAATCTCTACCTCAAAGTTGTTACCTTGTTATTAAGTGAAGTGTTTGAGAACTTTAGATATACCTGTTTGAAAACATATAAATTAGATCCAGCTCATTATTTCACGGCCGGGGGTTTATCATTCCATGCTCCATTAAAGATTATTGAGATAGAATTAGACTTGCTAAACGATCCTAATATGATACTTTTCATTGAGAAAGGTATTTGAGGTTGTGTTTCAATGATATCTACAGGATATGCTAAAGCAAACAACAAATATATTACCGAAAGTTATCATCCTCAAAAAGCGAGGGTCATAACTATATATCATGCACAGCTGCAAATAAGTTACATGGCTGGGTAAAGTCACAAAGCCTACCAACAGGAAACTTTAGATGGTTGGAAGAAAGTGAACCATTCTGAAATAATAAAGGCTACATTCTAGAAGTTGACTAGATATCCAAAAGATCTACATGACAATCATGATGATTTACCTCTAGCTCCTGAAAATATTCAAATTCGGAAAGATCCATCGTCGTTGTAGACCCAAATTCATGAGTTAGTACCTCATCTTGGCAAGCGTAAAAATATGTAATCTACATATTATAATCATTTAAAGCTGTATGAGGAACTTGGATTGAAATTAAAGAAAATCCATATAATATTAGAATTTAAAGCAAGTCCATTGATCCAGCAATACATAGATCTAAACACAAAAATGCGGCAACAAGCGAAATCATATTTTAATAGAGATTTCTTCAAGTTAGTGAATAATTCTGCTTTCTGGAAAACGATGGAAAACATGAGAAATAGAGTTGAAGTTAATCTGGTTTAATCTAAACATGAATTGAGAAGATTAGTAAATAAACATAATTTAAAGAATTCAAAATCTTTTGGGAAAACCCAATAGCGACTTCTTCTTCTTCTCAGAAAACATAATAGGAAGTGCGGGCTACCTAGACCACACTTATCATTTGGACCACACGGGCCACCTGGACCACAACGTCTTCATGACGGTGTGGTCCAGAAGCCTTACCGATAGAAGCACGTAATTCGCTTCATATTTCCACAACACATGCTTCGCTGAAAATTAGAACAACACTAAAGCATAGCATCGTCAATTGGGGATAGCGCATATTTCATATATGGAAAAATAATCATTAAAATCAACC